TCCCCCTCCTTCCACGCCGTGGATCCCTACACGGCCTCGGAGCTGGTGTCGCTGGCGCTGCCCGACATCATCCGCGACTACCAGATGATGATGGAGGAGAACATTCCAGAAAACCCCCTCAAGTACCTGTACCCCAACACCCCCCGGGACGAGGCTTTCGGGCCCTACTACAGCCAGAGGCAGGAGGGTACGGCCTGGCACGGCCTGGGACTGAGCTGGGGTCACACCTGACACCCCCCTGAGCCCTTTTTGTCCCCAGGGAACCTGAGCGAGTCCAAGAAGTACCTGAACCGGCGCCTGATCCGCGTGTCCTCCAGGTGAGGGGCTGTGGGGACACCTGGGTCCCTCTGTGACCCTGTGGGATCCTTCCCTGACCCTGTGGGATCTTCTGACCCTGTGGGATCCTTCCATGACCTGTGGGATCCCCTGACCCTGTGGGATCCCTCTGTGACCCTGGGGGATCCTTCCCTGACCCTGTGGGATCTCTCCATGACCCCGTGGGATCCCCTGACCCGATCCCCTGACCCCGTGGGATCCCCTGACCCGATCCCCTTGGCTCCAGGCAGCCCAGCAAGTGGCAGACAGAAGAGGAGCTGGTGGTGGCCACGGAGAACCTGGAGACGCTGCAGCTGCAGCCCGGAGGGCAGGGGACACAGCAGGCTGGTGGCCTGGCATTGCCACAGCCCCAGAGCTTGGGGACACCCCAGGTCACCCCTGGGAACCTGGGGACACCTCAGGGGGTGGCCACAAGCCCAGGGATACCGCAGGTCCCCCCTGGGAATGTGGGGACACCTCAGAGCGTGACCAGCAGGCTGGGGATAGCACAGGTGACACTGCCGGTCACCCCTGGGAACCTGGGGACACCTCAGGGGGTGGCCATGAGCCCAGGGACACTGCAGGTCACCCCTGGGAACCTGGGGACACCACAAGTGGTGGCCACAAGCCCAGGGACCCTGCAGGTCACCCCTGGGAACCTGGGGACACCTCAGGGGGTGGCCATGAGCCCAGGGACACTGCAGGTCACC